CTTCTGGCGGGGTCAGGCCCTGGTGTCCAAGGAGTGCTCTTGGGGTACAGGAAGGGTAGGCAGGGAGCAGGCCCTGCTGTCCAGGGGGGCATCTTTAGGCAGGGGATGGACTCTGCTGTCCAGGAGTTTGTCTTCAGGCAGGGGGCAGGCCCTGGTGTCTAAGGAGTCCTCTTGGGGTACAGTACAGGGAAGGATGGGCAGGGCGCAGACCCTGCTGTCCAGGGGGCATCTTCAGGCAGGGGCAGGCCCTGCTGTCCAGGGGGCATCTTCAGGCAGGGCGCAGACCCTGCTGTCCAGGGGGGCATCTTCAGGCAGGGGACAGGCCCTGCTGTCCAGGGGGCATCTTCAGGCAGGACAGGCTCTGGTATCTAAGGAGTCCTCTTGGGGTACAGTACAGGGAAGGGTGGGCAGGGGACAGGCCCTGCTTTCTAGGGGACATCTTAGGCAGGGGATAGGCCCTGCTGTCCAAGGAATTCTCTGCAGGTGCAGGAGGCAGGGCAGGAGTCAAGCCCTGTGGTACAGGGAGTGTGTCTGTGGGTCGGGGCCAGGGCAGCCTGGGCAGGCAGGAGGCAAACCCTGCTATCTGGGGAGTGTGTCCACGTGGCCCAGAGGGCCAGGGGCCCAAGCCGCACCTTGTGCAGGCCGGGCCTGGTTCCCAGGGCTGAGCCTCCTGGCCTTGTGCGGCCCCACCCAGAAGGGCTCCCAGTATCGGCAGGAAGAGGCTGAGGTGGTCTCTGAGGAGCTGAGAGCTGCTGTGTGGCCTTGGGGGCCTGGGCCACCTCCAGGAGCGGAGCCCCCCTGACCACCCCTCCTGTGGCCTTCCCCCCGGCCGCAGGGAGAACCAGGAGAAGATGATCTACTTCCTTCTCCTGGACCGGAAGGAGCGGTTCCCGAGTCACGAGGACGAGGACCTGCCCCCCAGAAACGAAATAGGTACAAGGGCCCAGGGCAGCCGGGCCGGCCCACCGCCTCCCCCAGATCCTCAGCGCGCAGCCCGAGGGTGCAGCCTGACCCCCATCTGTGCACAGACCCCCCTCGGAAGCGTGTGGATTCCCCCATGCTGAACCGGCACGGCAAGAGGCGGCCGGAGCGGAAGTCCATGGAGGTGCTTAGCGTGACGGATGGCGGCTCCCCGGTGCCCGCCCGCAGAGCCATCGAGATGGCCCAGCACAGTCAGAGGTGTGTGCTCCCAGGAGGCCTGGCTGGGTCTCTGCTGGCATCACTTGTGGCCACCAGCTGGGCTGGGCTCCTCTGGCTCTGGGTCAAGACTGAGGGGCGGGGCTCTGTGGGGTTGGGCTGGGCCAGTGGCGATTGGCTTTGTTGCCTGGGCTGGGCTGGGCTGGGCTGGGCTTGGGCTGGGCTGCACTGGGCCAGCTAGGCAAGGAGGGGCTGAGCTGGACTGTCTTTGCTTTATTGGGCTGAGCTGGCTGGGCTGGGCTGGGTGGGCTGGGCCGGGCTGGGCCGGGCTGGGCTGGGCTTGGCCGGGCCGGGCCGGGCCGGGCTGGGCTGGGCTTGGCCGGGCCGGGCCGGGCTGGGCTCGGGCTTGGCTGCACTGGACCAGCCATGCAGGGAGGGCCTGAGTTGGACTGTCCTTGCTTTTTTGGGTTAAGCTAAGCTGAGTTGGGTAGGCTGGGCAGGGCTGAGCGGGGCTGGGCCGGGCTGGGCTGAGCTGGGCTTGGGCTTGGCTGCACTGGGCTAGCCATGCAGGGAGGGGTTGAGTTGGACTGTCTTTGCTTTATTGGGCTGAGCTAAGCTGAGCCGGGCCAGGCCGGGCTCAGCTGGGCTGGGCTGGGCTGAGCTGGGTGGACTGGGCCATGTGGCTGGACTGGTTACCTGGTGGGTTGAGCTTCAGTGAGCCAGTGGGCTAAGCCAGTCCTGTGCTGCCTGGCCCCAGGGGGGTGACCTGTGTCTCCCTGGGGTACAGAACAGCTAGTCTGACAGGGCTGCCACCATCCCAATGCCACCCTGCCTCTGAATCAGCCACCACAGCGTGGGGTAGGCAGGACACAGGATGCCGGGGGAGTGATGACAGGACCCTCGGGGGCAGGCAGGGTGTGCGCCCCACAGAGCTTCCAGGCTGGTTCTGAGCCAGGCTGGGGATGGCAAGGCCCTCCTTCCTGGGCAGGGGCTTCAGGGAGAATGGCAGAAGGTCAAGTGGCCCTGTCTGCCCTGAGGTATGGCCCCCCACTGCCCCCTCCAGGTGCTGGGATGTAGGGTCAGGTCTGCTCCCAGGGAATTTGCTGGCAAACTCAAGGACCCACAGGGCACTGGGCCACCCTCACAATGACCCAGAGCGCTGGGTCTAGCCCCCCTGGGCTGGCTTCCTGCCCTCAGGTGGCCCGAGGGCATCCCCAGAAGACCAGGCTGTGGTCCAGGCTGCCCCTGGCTCCTGGAAATGGGTGGGGAGGTGAAGGCATTGGGAGCAGGCCCCTCCTGGTAAGCCCTGGCTGTGCCTCTCTTGGGCACATCCGGCCCCCTGCTCAGCATTGCAGGCCCACCCTGCAGGGGCCAGAAGTCCCCAGCTCCATTTCCAGAGGCCGGTCCAAGGTCCCCATTTGACCGAGTGCTGGGACATAGGCTCCCTGACCTGCCCGGTGCCTCAGGGCAGGGGGCAGGGGGCAGGGGGACAGGAGACCACAGCTACCCAGGCCTGGTCCCCTGTGTGGCCTCCAACCACCCCTGGCTCCCCCGCTCTGCGCTCTAGGCCCCGTTGCTTCTGGGGTGCTATACTGGGCTGGAGTCAGGTTGTAGACTCCCGGCTGTGGACCGACTCTTAAGAGCCCTCTGTTCTGGTCTGTCCTGCCAAGGCACTGTTCATCCTCCCAGTTGGGCCACCTGCAGCCCTCAGTACCCTGGCTACCTGTCAATGGCCATGAGGGGCCCCCTGCAGGGGCTGGGCGAGGCCCTGGGGGCTGGTGGCAGTGCTGAACAGCCCGAGCCTGGCCGGCCACCCTGCTGGGCAGGTCCCCCTGCACTACCCCCTCTGCGCCCAGCTCCCTCTTGCCGTCCCCAGCTGGAGAGCACGCAGAGCCCTGGCCCTGCCAGCCCGCCTGGCGTGGCCACGTCGTCACCGTCCTCTCGCTTTCTCCGTCTGTAGTAAGGCAGTGTTCAGTAAAAGCCTGGAAATCGCGGAGACCCATCCCCCATTCAGCAGAGAAGACAGGTACTCACCCTGCCCAGACGCTGCCCCACCTTCTCCCCTGGGATAGCTCCGGGCCTGGGGTCAGGCGAGCTGAGGCCACGGAGGAGCCCGAGTGAGGGACCCCTGCCCCATGGCCCCCCGGCCCCCCAGCCCCAGGCTGGAGACCTGCATGGCTCTCCCCGCCCAGACCTTGCGTGGTGCAGCACCCGGGGGTCCTGGGGTTGCCTTGAAGTTCACTGTGAGCTCCTGAGGGTCCCAAAGGTCTCACCTGGGTGTCAGTGGGGCTTCTTCAGGCCATGGTCCTGCCAAGCTCTTGAGGTTTCCCGGGTCCGCTGTCCTGCCCCCACTCTGCTCCAGCCACTGCCCTTCCCAGCTGGGCCTTTAGAGCAACTGCCAGGGGTGCCAGGCAGACAGCAGGGACCAGGGGAAGCGTCCCACCATCTTCTTCCTGCTTTTGTGAGGGGCCAATGACAGGCTCTAGCTTCGGGTCTGGGGCTGCTGGGGGCTCCTCAGGGCCAGGCCCCAGGCCCACATCGGGAGCTCCAGCCCAGCTTGGCCAAGGTCTGTGGCCTCCAGCCGAGCCGGCGGGATGGGCAGGGGTCACTGCCACCTTCCCTGGCCTGTGTGTTGGTGGGAGGGTTGTCACCACCGGGCAGCCCACAGGGGCCCAGGGACTGTGGATTCAGGAGCCAGCCTCAGCCCAGGGGGCCGGGACACAGTGGGGGCAGGGCAGGGGCAGCCCGTGGGCACTGTTCACACTTCTCTGTCCTCTTCTTACCACGACTGCTCTGGCCCCTACCGCTCCCTCTCTCAGGACACCAAGTGCTGGCCCCAGGGCACTTGCTCCCCTTCCTGGCATGGTGATGGGTATGCAGGCCAGCTCTGGGTGTGGCCAGCCCCACCATCCTGCCAGTGCTCACCGGCCCGCCAGGCTCAGCACAGGCTCTCGTAGGGCAGACTTGGGCAGCCCTTGCTGGCAGCTTTGGGTGGAGACGGGGTGCCAGGGACACAGGCAGACACCAGGAAGGGAGGACTCAGGCACTGGCCGGGCTCAGGAGCCAAGCTCAGGGCAGAGGCCGAGGGGAGAAAGGGCCCGGCCTGCCTGACTGGCCAAGGCCCGTCCTGGGAGCTGGGCCCAGTGCCTTCTCCTGAGTCCATCTGTCCATTCTGGGCTCTTGAGTAGGGGAGGAGGCAGCCAGCTCCTGGGCCACCGCGTGCAGGCTCTGACGGCTCCTGGATGCTGGGTGTTGCCAGGGCTCAGGCGTGCTGACCTGCACCGGGGGCCTTGGGGCTGTTGGTCAGGGCTCCTAGCCTCCTGGAGGGTGCACGGGGGAGGGGAACGGCCGAGAGCCTGCTCCTGCAGCGCCCTGCTGCCACTGCGTGTCTGCCTGTGCCCCCAGGTCGCGGTCCATCAGTGGCGCCTCCTCCGGCCTCTCCACGAGTCCGCTCAGCAGCCCCCGGGTGAGTGAGCGGCCCCCAACCTGCCCTCAACGCCCACGTTGTGGATGGGACCCCAGCGCCAGCCATGCCCCTCCCCCTCCCAGAGAGCCCTGGCCAGCCCCGCACCCCACAGGCAGGCAGGGCCTTCCCACCCCCGCCCTGGGCTGGGATCCTGCTGGCTGCTGCGCCTGCGCAAAGCCCTGCTAACTGCACGTTTTTCTGTTTGTTTTCTCGTGTGTCCCTGTTTTCTTTTGTTGCATGCCCGCCCCGCCTGCCTGTCTTCCCTGTCCCCTGTCCCCCTGGGTCCCGGCTCTGTGTGCGTGCCGGTGCATGGGCATGCGGGTGTGCGCGGGCTGCTCGCGGCGTGGACCCCCCCCCCGGCCCCTGTAGCCTGTTAGGAAGTTTGTCTTGCCCCCCCCGGCCCCTGAGCCGCCCCTCTCGGCTTGCCCCCTGGCCACCTCCACGGAGCCTGGAGCCTGTCGCAGCACCTCGCGGCCGGGACGCACCCCCCCAGCACCGGCCCCGTGGCCCAACCCCCGGACTCAGACCCTGCCGTGCAAGGGCGCGCACACCGACCGGCCGCTGCAGGGTGCCAGGTCCCACCCACCCCTGGCTGGTGCCCAGGCCCAGCCCCCCGTTGCCACTGCAGGGCTCCTTGGGCCCACGGACCCCGGCCCGCCGGCCCCGGCCCGGCCCCCACCACCAGGGACCGGTCCAAACGTCAAATCTGTCCCCACCATACAGGTGACCCCTCACCCCTCTCCGAGGGGCAGTCCCCTCCCCACCCCCAAGGGGACGCCCGTGCACACGCCCAAGGAGAGCCCGGCGGGCACACCCACCCCCACGCCGCCTTCCAGCCCCAGCGTCGGGGGCGTGCCCTGGAGGACGCGGCTCAACTCCATCAAGAACAGTTTCCTGGGCTCCCCGCGCTTCCACCGCCGGAAACTGCAAGGTGGGTGGGCCTGGGATGCTCACATGTCCTGGGGTCAGCCGAGTTGGCCTTCTGGCTCTTCTTGCCATGGGTCCCTGGTCCCAGTACTGAGTCCCACAAAAGGGGTGGGGTGGATGGTCGGGAAACCTTGAGGTCAGGGTGGCACTGAGTAGGGGCCCACTGCACCCCAACGCTGTCCATTCGGTGCAGAGAGCACAGAGGGGCTGGGGGCCGGAGAGGTCGGGCAGCTTCAGCACCAGGAACAGGGCAGCTCCCACAGCGGCACCTGGGCCCAGCTGGGCCGGCCCCCCAGAGCGTGCAGGGGTGGGGCTGGGCCGGCCCCCCAGAGCGTGCAGGGGTGGGGCTGGGCCGGCCCCCCAGCGCGTGCAGGGGTGGGGCGGCGGTGTTCTGGTCGGTGCCCCCGGGCGGACAGTCACATGCTGCTTTCTCCTTGCCGTTGCAGTCCCTACACCAGAGGAAATGTCCAACCTGACCCCAGAGTCGTCCCCAGAGTAAGTGTCCCCAGGCTCCACTGAGGGGGCTGGGGAGGCTGGTAGATGCCTGGGGGCTGGACAGTTGGCCCAGGGGCCTCAGCAGGGGTGCCAGTGCCTCCTCAGTGGCCCCCCCCCCATCCTGCCCTTCTGGGCCCCTCCGCTGCTTGGTGGACGCGGGGGGATGGGGGAGCAGTAGGGCTTGGGGTGCAAGGGGGAGGCCCAGCAGGATCCAGGCCAGATCCACTGAGAAGCCATGATCCTCCTGGTGGGAGCCGCTGACGAATGTTGAGCAGAGTGTGTGGGAAGGTGCAGGGGGAGGGGAAGGGGCAGGGCTGGGGGAGGGAAGAGGGAATGCATAGCCACGCCTCCTGAGGCCCGGCCACACACACCCCTACTGCGGAGCCCCGCCCCCAGCCCCCAGCCAGGGCTGCTGTGCTCAGGAGGCCCTCTGGCCAGGCCTCCCAGTTCCTTCTCAGGACAGCGACACAGCCCGGCGGGGGGCGCTATCCAGACTTGCTTGGCTTGGAGGGACCTGCCGCGCGGGGCCAGCACAGTCGCAGCCGGCTGCCTGGAAGGGTTACCCAGGCAGGAGTGGAGGCCTGGTTCAGGGTTACGACAGGCCTGGTGCCAGGAGGGGATGGGGGTAAGGTCACAAGGTGAAAACGTCTGATCTGAAGAAAAAGAGTGACCCAGGACAGACACACGGCCGAGTAGGAGGCCCAGGACAGACACACGGCCCATCAGGAGGCCCAGGACAGACACACAGCCCATCAGGAAGCCCAGGACAGACACACGGCCGATCAGGAAGCCCAGGACAGACACACGGCCGAGTAGGAGGCCCAGGACAGACACACGGCCCATCAGGAGGCCCAGTGTGGACATGGAACTGTTCAGGAAGCCCGGCACCACCATGGCAGAGCCCAGGAAGGTCAGTCCCAATGCTGCCACACAGCTGCCCAGGAACCCAGAGCCAGCACGGAACCACCCAATGCCAGCGCAGAAGAGCTGGGGAGCCTGGTGACGGCACGGAGAGGGCAGCCCCTGCAGGTGGCTGCAGACGGAGCCGGCAACCAGAAGCAGGACAGAAGGGCCACGGGAGGCCCACAGTGACAGCCCACAGGGCCCCACAGCCAGCCCTGCTTTGGCTCGGGTCCCACCCCTGCAGGAGGCCATCGCCTGGATCGGTTATCTATCCTGGAGGGCACCACCTCTCCCCTGCCCACAGTGGCATCCGTAGTCAGCGTCACGGAGAGTGGTAGTGTCAGGGCTAAAATCCCAGATTCAGAAAGGGTTACAGGGCTGCGGATGGTGCTGAAACCTGAGAGAGAGAGGAAGAAGGGCGAGCTGAGAGGTAGACACAGCCCGAGTGCCCAGCAGAGACCACACTCCAACCCAAGAGACCCTTGAAGACGTGCTGCTGAGCAAGAAGGACGACGAGTGTGTGACCCTCCTTGTGTGGGACACCAACAGTAGACAAAGGCACCCGTTTGTTAGGGGTTACGGGGCCTGGGGGAGATTCACATAAAAAACAAGGTGCGTGTGGCAGCAGCCTGCTCCACGTGAGCCTGCCAGGTGCGGTGTCTGCAGCCTGGGGTGTGGACCTAGCCCCGCCGGGTGGGCCCGCTGACGGCCTGGGATGTGGACCCAGCCCCGCCGGGTGGGCCCGCTGATGGCCTGGGGTGTGAACCCAGCCCCGCCGGGTGGGCACACTCAGGGCCTGGGGTATGGACCCAGCCTCGTTGGGTGGGCACACTTGAGGTTCACCACCCAGGGTGCCTTGCGCACAGGAGGCTTCACGCCACTGGCCCCAGGACCTGGGTTCAGGGAACCGTTTTTATCCCACTTTTGTTGGCTGCTACCAAGTCCGCCCCAACTCAAGGCAGCCCTGTGCCCAACGGAAGGAAGTATGAGTGGCCCCTGTGGCCCACAGGGTGTCCAGGGACCGACTCAGAAATCAGTGCCCAGGCCTTCCTCGTCTGTCTTAGTCTGGAGTGTCAGCCGAAAGCTGTCCAGCACCCAGCAACACGTGAGTCTCCACCTAGGCAGACGGCGGCTGCGTGGGCGGCGCACTGGCTGGGAGCCGAACCTGGGTTTCCCGCACGGAAGGCGAGAATCCTGCCCCTGAGCCACACTGCCTCAGTCCTACTCTGAGAGTCAGTTCCAGCTCATGTCAACATCATGTGACAGGGCAGAGCCCACAGTGACCCCGTGCGGCAAGGGCGGGACCCACGGCGACCCCGTGAGACAGAGTAGATCCCACAGCGACTGCAGTGAAACATGTACGGCAGAGCAGGACCCACAGCGACCCCGTGGGACAAAGCGGGACCCACGGTGACCCTGCGGCACGGAGTGGGACCCGCGGCGACACCACGGATGGAGTGGGACCCACAGCGATCCCGTGGACAAAGCAGGACCCACGGCAACCCTGCGGCACGGAGTGGGACCCACAGCGACACCACGGATGGAGCGGGACCCGCGGCGACACCACGGCACAGAGCGGGACCCACAGTGACCCTGTGGACAAAGCGGGACCCACGGCGACCCTGCGGCACGGAGTGGGACCCACGGCAACTCCGCAGGATGTAGCAAGACCCACGGCAACACCATGGATGGAGTGGGACCCGCGGCGACCCCGCGGCATGGAGTAGAACTGTCCCAGAGGCCCTCTTGGCTGTAATTTTTATGGGGGCAGGCTGCCCAGTCTTTTCTGCTACAGAGCAGCTGCTGGTGGGTTTGAATCAACTGGCCTATCACCCACCGGCCACCCCTAGGAAGGAAAACTGAGCAATCTACTTCCAAAGTGATACTGCCTCGGAAACCCAAGGAGGGGTCGCTATGAGTCGGGTCTGACTCGACGGCACATAACAACAACAGCAGCAGCTGAGCGCTTAACCATCGCATCACCAGGACTCCCTCCTTGAAGGTCCCTTAAGTTGAACTTTTTGCTGTCACCAAAAGCTACCACAAATGTAATTATTATCTTTCAGGAATTTTTTTAAAAAAGTAAGGTCTTGTAAAAACGGCCCGGCAGAGACCTCTGACCTCACAAGGGGGACGAGGCCCACAGCCAACAGCCCGAGGCTGATTCCTGTGAGGTGGTCTCAGCCCTGCCTCCACCCTCCCACCTTCCTGCCGATCCTGACCCCGGCCGTCCCTCCCGTGGTATCTCTATTGCTCCGCTGGGTTTGAGAATTTGTTGCAGCGGCCATCCAGAACTCACAGACCATACTCACGATTGTGGTTTACTGGGGAGGTAACAGGCTCCAGTCCAGGTTCAGGACGTGCTCAGGAGAAAGTTCTTCCACCAGGACACCTCTGTGACCTTGGCCTCTGGGCCCTGGAACGCCTCGGCCTCGCCCTGCTTTGGGCAAGGGTGGAAAAGCTTTTTCAGCTCCACCCACTGCCGCTCAGACTCCGCCCTCTGCCAGGAAGCTCCTGCCTGGAGGTGCTCAGCCCTCTGCCAGGAAGCCCACCGCTGTCTGGTGCCTGGCTCCTGGATCGAGCAGGTTCACCGCAGGGCTTGGGGGGGGGGGTCCAAGGATGGGCTCCACTCCTGACTCTTCTTTCTTGACGGTAGTGAGACCCCCACACACACACTCCCCACCTCTGCTATGGCTCATTGCCAGCCCAGCAGGATGGCAAAACTGACCAATCTCATGACAGTCCATATACCTTATTTGCATGGTCCCACCCCTACGAGGCGCCACGTTCCTTATTTGCATTACTCACAATCTGTGCAGTCCCCATGGTGGCCACAAGCACCTCACGTTTGCATGGTCCCACCCAGTCATCCTAGCATCCGGGTCTTGGACACTGCTTTCGCTTGATTGTGGCTCTTTACTAAGGCAGGAGCCTGAGGTAGGCAGGCGGGGGGCTTGCAGGCTATTTTTCGCTTGGGTGTGACTCTGTGCTAAGGCTAGGACCTGAGGTAGACAGGTGCAGGGGGTTAGAAACAACTAAGAGAGACGAGCTTGTCTTGTCAGTTTGTTGTCCTCTGGTGGCTTATATATTGCTGTGAGGCTGGAGCCTATGCCACCCGGTTACAAAACGCCAGCACAGCCCCCCACAGTGGAGGTTTCAATGGAGCTTCCAGGCTAAGACAGACTCAGAAGAAGGAAGAAGCCTTCCACTTCTCGAAAGACTGGCCACTGAAAGACCTTATGAACAACAGTGAAACACTGTCTGATATATTACTGGAAAACTTTATGAACAGCCCTGAAACCGTGTCTGATACAGGCTAGAAGATGAGCCCCTTAGGTCGGAAGGCTCTCAAAATGTGACCGGGGAAGAGCTGCCTCCTCAGAGTAGAAAGGACCTTAACGATAGGGATGGAGTAGAGCTTTCGGGACCTCCATTGGATGATGTGGCATGACTCAAAATGAGTAGAAATATGCCAATATCCATTAATAATTGGAACATGGAATGTATGAAGTATAAATCTAGGAAAACTGGAAGTTATCAAAAATGAAATGGAGTGCATAAAGATTGATATCCTAGGTATTAGTGAGCTGAAATGGACTGGTTTGGGTCATTTTGAATCAGACAAACACATGATCTACTATGCCGAGAATGACAAATTGAAGAGGAATGGTGTGGCATTCATCATCACAAAGAGTGTTTCAAGATCTATTCTGAAGTACAATGCTGTCAGTGACAGGATAATATCCATACACCTACAAGGAAGACCAGTTAATACTACTATTGTTCAAATTTATGCACCAGCCACCAAAGCCAAAGATGAGGATATTGAAGATTTCTACCAACTTCTGCAGTCTGAAATTGACCGAACATGCAATCAAGATGTGTTGATTATCACTGGTGACTGGAATGCAAAAGTTGGAAACAAAGAAGAGTCACCAGTAGTTGGAAAATATGGCCTTGGAGATAGAAATAACACTGGAGATCACATCATAGAATTTTGCAAGACCAACGACTTATTCATTGAAAACACCTTTTTTCAAGAACATAAGTGACAATTGTACATGTGGACTTTGCCAGATGGAATACACAGGAATCAGATTGACTACATCTGTGGCAATAGATGATGGAGAAGTTCAGTATCTTTTCCCAAAACAAGGGCAGGAGCTGATTATGGAACAGACCATCAACTGCTCATAGGCACGTTCAAGTTGAAGTTGAAGACAATTAAACCTTGATAATATCCCTCCTGAATTTAGAGACCATGTAAAGAATAGATTTGATGCATTGAACACCAGTGATCAAAAACCAGAAGAATAGTGAGATGACATCAAGAACATCATCCATGAAGAAATCAAGAGGTCATTAAAAAGACAAGAAAGGAAGAAAAGACCAAAATGGATGTCAGAAGAGACTCTGAAACTTGCCCTTGAGTGGAGAGTAGCTAAAGCAAATGGAAGAAATGCAAGATAAAAGGGCTGAAGAGAAGACTTCAAAGAGCAGTTTGAGAAGACAAAGCCAATTACTATAATGAAACGTGCAAAGACCTGGAGTTAGAAAACCAAAAGGGAAGAACACACTCAGCATTTCTCAAGCTGAAAGAACTGAGGAAAAAATTTAAGCCTTGAGTTGCAATATTGAAAGATTCTATGGGCAAAATATTGAATGACGCAGGAAGCGTCAAAAGAAGATGGAAGGAATACACAGAGTCACTGTACCAAAAAGACCTGGTCAATGTTCATCCATTTCAGGAGGAGGCACATGATCAAGGACCAGTGGTATTGAAGGAAGAAGTCGAAGCTGCACCGAGGGAAGTGGTGAAAAACAAAGCTCCAAGAATTGACGGAATACGCATTGAGATGTTTCAACAAATGGATGCTGCACTGGAGGCACTCACTCGGTTATGCCAAGAGATTTGGAAGACAGCTACCTGGCCAGCTGACTGGAAGAGATCCATATTTGTACCCATTACAAAGAAAGATGATCCCACAGAATGTGGAAGTTATCGAACAATATCATTAATGTCACATGCAAGTAAGATCTTACTGAAGATAATTCAAAAACGGTTACAGCAGTATACTGACAGAGAACTTCCAGAAATGCAAGCTGGATTCAGAAGAGGACGTGGAATGAGGGATATCATCGCTGATGTCAGATGGATCTTAGCTCAAAGCAAAGAATACCAGAAAGATGTTTACTTGTGTTTTATTGACTATGCAAAAGCATTTGATTGTGTGGATCATAACAAATTGTGGATGACCTTGAGAAGAATGGGAATTCCAGAACACTTAATTGTACTCATGAGGAACCTGTACATAGACCAGGAGGCTGTCGTTCAAACTGAAAAAGGGAACACTACATGGTTTAAAATCAGGAAGGGAGTGTGTCAGGGTTGTATCCTTTCCCCATACTTATTCAACTTGTACGCTGAGCAAATAATCCGAGCAGGTGGATTATATGAAGAAGAACGTGGCATCAGGATTGGAGGAAGAATCATTAACAACCCGCAATACACTGACGACACAACTTTGCTGAAAGTGAGGATGACTTGAAGCACTTACTGATGAAGATTGGAGACTACAGTCTGCATTATGAATTACTCCTCAATATAAAGAAAACAAAAATCCTCAGAACTAGGCCAGTAAACAGCTTCATTGATGGATGGAGAAAAGATTGAAGTTGTCAAGGATTTCACATTACTTGGTTCTACAATCAACACCAATGGAAGCAGTAGTCAAGACATCAGACGACGTATTGCATTGGGCAAATCTGCTGCAAAGGACCTCTTTCAAGTGATGAGGAGCAAAGATGTCTCTTTGAAGACTAAGTTGAGCCTGACACATGCCATGATATTTTCAGTCACCTCGTATGCATGTGAGAGCTGGACAATGAATAGGAAAGACTGAAGAATATCTGATGCCTTTGAGGTGTGGTGTGGGCAAAGAACGCTGAAAGTACCATGGACTGACAGAAGAACGAACAAATCTGTCCTGGAAGAAGTACAGCCAGAATACTCCTTGGAAGCAAGAATGGCCTGACTTTGTCTCACCTACTTTGGTCATGTTGTCAGAAGGAACCATTCCCTGAAGAAGGATGTCATGCTTGGTAAGGTGGAGGGTCAACGAAGAAGGGCAAGGCCCTCAATGAGATGGATTGACAGAGTGGCTGCAATGATGGGCGCAGGTATAGCAAAGATCATGAGGCTGCCACAGGACCGGGCAGTGTTTCGTTCTGCTGTGCAGAGGGTCGCTGAGTTGGAGATGACTCGTTGGCACCTGCCAACAACAATCCAGTCATCTGGTGGAGCCCCAGAGTCCACAGCTCGAACAGACTTGTCAGGTTCACTGTACAGCAGCCCCACAGGGTGGAGGAGGGTGTGGTTTGCCTGCAGCCTCCTGTCCCTTCACTTACAATTCTTGAGGTCCGGGAGAGCCTGGGTGGCCTGTTCTGCCCCTGAGGGGCCTGTCAGCTCCTGTCCACAGGGTGGGCTGAGGCCGCCTCCTCACACAGCCTTGCCCACTGAGGGCAAGGGTCCCCAAGGACCTGTCTGCTAAGGGTGCCCCACCAGGGTCCCCAGCACACGAGCCCCGTGGCCGCTCTTGGCAGACTGTCTGCCGGGGCAGCCCCACTGGGGTTCCAGCATGGAAGCCTGTCCATTGGCTGTAAGTGTTCCCATGTTTCTCGAGGGAGGAGAGGCCAGAGCATCACAGTGGCACTAAACGCTCCTGAGCAGCCCGTTAGCTGCCAGCAAACATTTCCCAGACGCCGTCGGGGCTCCAGCCCCCGTTTGGGCCCAGGACACAAGGAGTGGGTCGGGCAAGGGCCTGCCCTCCAGGGCATCAGACATAGGGCAGGTGGCCAGGAGGGAATGGCAGGGTGCAAGAGGAGGGTTGAGAAGCCAGGGCTCAGGGTACCCCATCTGTGCTCCTCAGCCAGGATTCCGGGGGCAGGTGGCATGTCCACACAGGCTGACCTGAATAGAAGGGTTCTGTCAGAAGATGGCTGTGACTCAAGAACTGCCAAGAGGCTGAAGAACCAGCTCAGAAGGTGGGAGGAGGAAGACTGCCCCCCGCCCCGGGCTTCAGAGGAGACAGCTCCAGGGTCAGACCCCGTGATGCCCCGGGCTTCAGAGGAGACAGCTCCAGGGTCAGAGCCTGTGGCGCCAGCTTCAGGCGTGAGCACTGGCTGGTCCAGCTCGGGGGTGCGTCTGCTGCAGCTGGGCCGTGTGTCCACCCCAGGCTGCAAGGGAGGAGGACAGAGGCCACCAAGTCGTCCAGGTCCCCTGCTGCCGTGTGACGCAGAAACTCCAAGTGTGACGACTTAGAGCCATACGCAGCGGTCACTCACGTGTCTGTTGGCCAGGGCCGGGAGGAGCAACCAACCCTCTGCCTTGTCAGTGGCGGCCAGGCTCGATGGGGCTCAGCCAGGTCCAGGTCCCTATGGCCCCAGCGGGTCAGCTTCACCAGCCCCTGGCGGCCGACTGCTCGGGGATCCTGAGCGAAGCTAAACCACAACCAGACTCGCTGCTGTCAAGTCCACGGCGACTCAGAGCAGCTCCTCCTTGGGTTTCCGAGGCGGGACCTCCCAGGGGTACATTTCCCATTCTTCCTTCCAAGGAGTGGTTGGAAACAAAACACCTACAGTTGGTCAGACCAAAGCCACCCTCGTTGGTGACCCAGTCCCGGCAGCAGGTCCCTTTCTGCTGTATGCTCTGTGGGTCAGAAGTGAACCACTGACCCCCATGCTGCAGTGGGGACACGCAGGACCAGGGTCGTCTGGGGAGATTGGCTCCCACACAGCAGTAGGGCTCCACTGGGGGTTGTCCCAGGTGTGGGTGGGCAACAAGACCAGAGCGTGTCCAAGGTGGGCCTGCAGTGGGGTGTGGCCTGGAAGGAGGAGGTGCACCCCCAGGGGGGCCAGGGGTCAGCAGGGGTGGCTGTTGTCCGGGAACGGCTGGAGGTGCTCCCAGTGGCAGCCGACCTCAGGTGGTGCCAGTGCCACTCTCCTGGGCCGGACAGAGAAGAGGCTGTGCAGGGAAAAGGTGAAGCCCTGGAGGTGGGGCAGAAACGCGCTCAGGCCCCAGCCATGGCAGCCGCCTGTGCTGGCCGGAGCAGGCAGGCACGATGCAGCAATGTGCCCTGCACAATGGCCGCCACCCTCCGCCTGCCCACCTGCCCAAGGCTGGCTGTGGCACCAGCGGTGGGCGGGCCGCTGTGTCCTGGCCCTGCTCTCCGGGGCTTCCTATGGACCAGGTCTGTCCCCCCAGGTGCTGCAGACATGCATCTTCTGTCACTGCCTCTCAACAAAGGACCCCACACTCAGCACTTCAGGGGAGGGGCCAGCCGGCCCAGAGGACAGGGCACCCACCCCTTTGTTATGGGTTTCTAGTAGTCATGGCCCAGGGCCACTGGAGAGGGACTAGGCCAGGGGGCGGTGGGCCTGCTGGGACAGTGCAGTGGGACCCAGGGGACAGCAGGAACGTGGGGGTCCAGGCTTAGGGGGCAGTGGGACAGTGGGGGTGTGGAGTGCAGGGCCCAGGGAGCAGCAGGTATGTAGGAGGCAGGGCCCAGGGGGCAGTGGGACAGTGGGGACGTGGGGGGCAGGGCCCAAGGGGCGGTGGGACAGTGGGGACGTGGGGAGCAGGGCCCAGGGGCTGGGTCTGTGGGGACAGCAGAGGCGGGGCCCGAGTTCAGCTCCCTGGCACCCCCGCACGCCCTCAGGCTGGCCAAGAAGTCCTGGTTCGGCAACTTCATCAACCTGGAGAAGGAAGAGCAGATCTTTGTGGTCATCAAGGACAAGCCACTGAGCTCCATCAAGGCTGACATCGTGCACGCTTTCCTCTCGGTGAGCCCGGCCCCACAGTCGCACAGCGACTGCTGTCGCCAGGAACACCCCGGGGCTCGGCCCGGACCCACCCGCTCACTCATTCAACGGGCACATGGCCCTGTGTGGCCTGGTGGGGCCGGGCAGCCCAGGGACACCTCGGGAGTCACCGTGTGCTCATTCACGCGAGTTCACCGGGCCCCTGAGCATCCTGGGTGAGGCCAGGCTGGGCAGCTTCTGGGGGCCACTGCTGTGGGGAGCTGAGGGGTCACTATACTGCCACTCCTCTGCACTGGGGAGAGAGGTTCTTGGGGTGGCAACGACGCCCCCAGGACCAAGGCTCTGGCACTCAGCCTGGGGGACATAGTCCGAGGGAACAAGGCCCCTTGGCAGTTGTCTTGCACCCCGGTCAGCCTCCTCCAGGGTTCTGCCCGCCCTCAGGCACACGGTCCAGCTTAGTTGCCTTCCTCTGGTCCAGGCAGGCACCCCCCCCACACACACACACAAGGAAGGTGCCCCCCTTAGTGCCCAACGCGGGGTCTGTACTGAGGCCTGAGCCCAGCAGACCTGGGCAGAGGTTCACAACCAAGACTCCTGTCCCCGGGTCCCTGCCATGTGGCCACCTCCCCCACCACAGAGACCACGCTGGACTCCCCCACCCGTCCTTGCTCTGGGGCGTCCTGGCAGGCAGAGCCCCCCCCCCCCCCCCCGGGGACACTTCTGTCCTAGGGCCTCACTGTGCTCCTCGGCCTCCCGAGCAGCCTGCTGGGGTGATGCTCTCGAGGGCAGGTGGCCGCCATGGGCTGTATGGGGATGCCTTGCTGTCTCTCTCTCACGCACACACGTAACCTGAACATGACAGGGCCCACACGGCACAGGCCTGGGCAACTCTTCCAAATGGGAACAGTAAGCGGCAGGATTCAGGCAGTTCCTGCACCCACGCACCCAGCCTCTCAGAGCCCCCAGGCCAGGCCAAACCAAAGGCACTGCCATTGAGTTAATTCAACTCACAGCGACCCCTCCTTGGGTTTCTGAGGCGGTATCACTACAGAAGTAGATTGCCCAGCCTTCCTTCTGAGAAGTGGCTGGTGGATTTGAACAGCCAGCTTTCTGGTGAGCAGTCAGATGGCACTATGTCACCAGGCCAAACTCACTGCTGTCGAGTCGGATCCGACTCATAGCGACCCCTCCTTGGGTTTCCGAGGTGGTATCCTTTCAGAAGTACATTGCGTAATCTTCCTTCCGAGGAGTGGCTGGTGAGTTTGAACCATGAGCCTTCCGGTTAGCAGTCAAATGCCTTAGGCACTACACCACCAGAGCTCCCATCCTTAATCCATGAAATGTTCTCACTGACCATCTGGCCTCCGCTCCCTCTGGGCTCTGTGGCCGCAGCACCCTCACCTCTCTCCTCCTGGGAACCCACCCCTCCCTTGTCTGCCTCCCTGCAGGTGGGGTCTTGATTTCCCTCCCAGGTCCTGGAGGTGTCCTGGCCCTCTGTATTCACCTACCCCATCTGCGAACCCCACTCTGGTTCCTTGGTTCCCCAGTCACGAGAAATCTCTAAGCAGAATTTCCCTTGGCCAGTGGGAACTTTGAGGTGGCCAGGCTGTGCCTGCACAGGGCTGTGCATACAGGGGGCTGGGGGAGCAAGGCCGTGTGTGCAGGGGGCCGTGTGTGCAGGAGACCGTGGGTGCAGGGGGCCGTGTGTGCAGGGGGCCGTGGGTGCAGGGGGCCGTGTGTGCAGGGGACCGTGGGTGCAGGGGGCCGTGGGGCTGTGCTTCCAGGAGGGGCTGTGTGCATGCGGGAGGCTGTGCA